TGGCAATTTCGTGGTGAAACCAACTAAATAAATATTTTGCAAGAATAAACTCATGAATCACATTAATCTCGGCAAGTAATTAGCCAAATTAAGTCAGAACGCACGTTTCGCTGAAAACAATGTTGATACGCGAAGACAGCGACCATATGGCGTTCATATCTCATGTCTTATCTCATTTCTTATCTCATTTCACGCTCTGCGGAATGGCGTGTCGAAAGGCGATCTCTCAACTCATCCTACTTTGTGCAACATGATGCAGTGCAAAAAAAAAAGAAAGAAAATAGTCAACGGTCTCGGCATGAATCGCAGCGGAAAAAATCCGACATTTCGCAGAAGTCTTGGGGATAACAGTTGGCCATTTAGGCCTGGCAAAATTTTCCGCCAATTCGAGTTGGTTTCTTTGATTCGGCACCATGCCGATCCAACCGCAAATTGCACCAATTTAAATCTTCTCTTCCCTTCGCCCTTCAATTTCGAATTTGAATTTTTTCCTAATTTGCTTCTCAAACTGACATTTTGGAAGCAGAAGAACGTCGCGTTTGCAACAACAACAAAAACATGTTTTCGATTTGTTAGAGTTTCTTTAATAAATAAATAAATAAAGCATAGAGAATTGCATGCCACCGACGCCTTCTGCAGTCAATTCAAGTTAGAGCGCGATGGTAAAAGTATTTATGGAAAGAAATTGCAAAGCCGCAGGAATTCCCTCTCAATCTTCCGCGAAGTCACGATCGCGGTTACCCTCAAAGATGGAATTCGGCCGACCGCGAATCTTTCGCGAATCGAATACCGCACGAAATCCGGGAATCCGCGCAGTTTCACGAGCAGCTCACTTCATGCTTACGGCCTGCTCTTCCAAGGATTTAATTGTGCCTTTCAATTACGGAAGGGGCTTTCTGCCAAAAATCTCAACTGAATTTTTGAGGGGATTGAAAACATTGTGCTTTTTTTTTTATCTCATGCGTTCTAATCTTTTTCCCCTCATCCGTTCCTCTTCCTTCATTTATGTATTCTCCTAATTTATACATCCGAATTTCATTTTAAAATTTTCCCACCTACTTTTCCAAGTAAAATTTTGATTTCATCCTTCTTCATGTTGATGAGGAAAGTAAGCCATGGATCGACAAGAAGATTCCTACGGGAGGGAACTGACTCAAAAACATAATGGATAAAAAATATAATAATTTTGCAACGTAGAGCTTCACTTCGCCTCCACCAGGCTTCACTCAAGAGGAAAGCCTTCCACATTTCACGCTCGTTGAGAACAAATTGAAGACGAAGGACGCCATTTCGGTTTTGGATTCCGTTTCCCCGAATCGAATTCCAAAAACGAAAAACGCCGGGATGTTGCGGTCGAGGCAAGGGCAGAGGATGGTTTCAATTTACGGTTCCTGCACCGGGTTGCTCAAGATTGACAACGGCCATGGCGTGAAAACCATTTTGTGGGCGAAATAAATAGGGATTGCCATTTCTCGTGTGCTCCAGGGTCTCAAGAGAGAAAAAAAATTGGCACATGGCACTATAATATCGTGAGGAAATGAAGGAGCCGATCTTAAACGAAGACTTTCCTTAGCCAAAAATTAAGCATGGTTTGGAAAAAAAAATGCAAAGCCTAAATTTCAATTTGCAAATTTGACTGATTTTGTGATCTGGAAGTTCATTGAAGCATTCCCAAAGGTTGGCATGAAGCGCTGAAGCGGAGACTCGAACGGCGATTTGGTAACATGGTCTTCTGCTTTGCGATTGCAACATTATTTATCGAGTATGGGAGGCTATCCCTATCTTGATAAATAACGATAAAAATAATAATAATATTACCAAACAAATAAATCTAAGTCCTCCCAGCCTCACGTAATGACACAGAAGGAAAGAATAGTACTTTTTCCTCACTTAATGGTGCTTGCGCAGGAACCATCGAGAATATTGCGTATCATTTCTTTTAAATGAGTTATGTGTATTTATTTATCAACTTATTTCCTCATTTTATTCATTTTATTTGCTTACGCTGTTCCTTCATAAAATACTGGATAATGTCAAGGCGCATTTAGCAAAGGGGGAGACCCGAAAAAGAGCCGTTGGAGAGCCCTTGAAGAGCCGTTGAAAAGCCCTTGAGGAACCCTCAAACATGCCTTGAAGTCGCCTTGAAGTCGTCTTGCGATATGCCCCGTTGAGAAGGCGGTGAAAGGGGATTTCGGCTCTCGTCGTTCAATTTCACATGTGATCGACGGAGCGGCGAGGGCGATCACGCAAATTAGGCGGGATGAGGGACCTTTAAAAAAAAATTCCGCTTTGGGAAGGTCAAGGTCGATCGATCCCGAAAGGACTTTCGGCGGCTTCACGCTTCGGGAAATTTCTATTTTTATATATATAATATTTTTAAGGGACGAATATGGAAAGTGGAGTTGCAGGAAGAATTTTCCGGAGACTCATCGGATCCACTTTCTATTCCGGATCGAGGGTGAAAGTGATTTGGTTCCGGTTGTGATTAATGAACCGATGGCTAATTAGTCGCGCTGGATGTGCTCCTCGCGGTTTGAACTAGGCGACCCAGTATGCAAAGTTAATTACCATCGAGAATGGTAACCAAAAAAAAATATTTGGAGGCAAACATGGGGAGATGGCGGCAAAAAATGCTGAAAAAAAAATTTAAAAAAAAAACCAATTTGCAATACTACAATTTTGCAATATTGCAACTGCGATTCCTCGATTGTTGAGAAGGATTTGGAGTGGACAGCGTTGAGTTTGAAAGCCATGATGGAGGTTGTCTCTGAGTGAGCCATCCCTTGTGAGGATGGCTCACTCCTTGGGCCTGCCCTCCCTCGTCCTTCCGGTCCCTGTTTTCCCAATCAGGGAATGCTAATGCGACCGGTTTTTTTTAAATAAAATCAGGAATAGCTACGTTGGTTCATTCAAGAGATTGTACTGAAGCAGAGGATCCTGGCATATACCAAATTATAAGTAACACATCTAATGCGGTGACAAATATTGTGCGTCTTTCACCAGGTTCGTTTTCATAATGGGCGTCTATGGGAATGAATTTATCTCTGTTAAACTGATTCCCATAGGGGAATCTGTGGGATCAGATCAGTTTAGCTTAAACGGATTCGGTGCGTGTCACCCATTGTCCCTCTTTTAATTAAGATATTATATATTATTAAATAAAGGCTGGATATCGCGCTGCGTCATAGAATCCACAGAAATTAGAATTCAAATTCAGCCGGGAGGGGATCCGGCCGCGCAGGGTTCACGTAACTCTTCCCCGAAATTCTCGGACCGGGAAATGCCATGCCCCCTGCCTTTGTTTTCGTCGGGGCAAGCTGCCAGAATGCGAGAGGTGAGAAAACCCTTTTTTTTCCTCGGCGGAGGCGATCGATGGGACCGATGCCAGGAGGACCCGAGGCGGGTTTCCGCGATACGATCGGCGACGGATCCGGACCCGGCGTGGAAAAAATAAAATGTTGCGAAAAATCATTTTTACCCAAGAGGCGATCGTGTTCGCCGTGACTCTCCTCCGTTGCTCAACGCAGATACACCCGCCCGTTCTGCTCCATCCTCGTGTGTAATGACGGGAAAGTGTCGCGTCATCGTCGTTCCATTGCAATTGCAGGCGTTATGACGCCGAGACGTCTGCGAGGTTTCCAAAAGGTATCTGCGAGGTATCCAATAGGCATCTGCGAGGCGAGGCATGATGTTCACGATCGCAAAATAAGTTCAATGGTTTTTCGGGATTTTTCGCAGTTCAGAAATTGCGAATTTCGATCGAAATAGGCAATTTCGTGGTGCAACCAAGTAAATAAATACTTTGCAAGAATGAACTCATAAATCACAATAATCTCGGCAAGTAATTAGCCAAATTAAGTCGAAGTGCACGTTTCGCTGAAAAGAATGTTGATACGCGAAGACAGCGACCATATGGCGTTTATATCTCAAGTCTTATTTCATTTATTATCTCATTTCACGCTCTGCGGAATGGCGTGTCAAAAAGCGATCTCTCAACTCATCCTACTTTGTGCAACATGATGCAGTGAAAAAAAAGAAAATATTCGACGGTCTCGGCATAAATCCCAGCGGAGGAAAATCCGAAATTTTGCAGAAGTCTTGGGGATAACAGTTGGCCTCTAAGCCCTGCCAAATTTTCCGCCAATTCGAGTTGGTTTCTTTGATTCGGCACCATGCTGATCCAACCGCAAATTGCACCAATTTAAATCTTTTCTTCCCTTCACCCTTCAATATCGAATTCGAAATTTTGCTAATTTACTTCTCGAACGGGCAGAAGAACGTTGCGTTTGCAAGAACAGCAAAAAAAAATATTTTTAGATTTGTTGGAGTTTGTTCAATAAGTAAAAAAACCAAGCAGAGAATTGAGCGCTTATGTCACCGATGCCTCTGCAGTCAATTCAAGTTAGAGCGCGATGGTAAAAGTATTTTTGGAAAAAAAATAGCCACAGGAATTCCCTCTCAATCTTCCGCGAAGTCACGATCGCGGTTACCCTCAAAGATGGAATTCGTTCGACCGCGAATCTTTCACGAATCGAATACCGCACGATAGACGGGAATCCGCACAGTTTCACGAGCAGCTTCCTTCATGCTTACGGCCTGCTCTTCGAAGGATTTAATTGTGCCTTTCAATTACGGAAGGACTTTCTTCCAAAAAACTCAACTGAATTTTTTGCGGGGATTGAAAAAAATTGTTTTTTTTTTTTTTAGCTCATGCGTTCAATGTTTTTTCCCTCATCCGTTCCTCCTCTAAATAATCTTCATTTATGTATTCTTCTAATTTATACATCTGAATTTCATTTCAACATTTTCCCACCTACTTTTCCAAGTAAAATTTTGATTTCATCCTTCTACATGTTAATGAGGAAAGTAAGCCATGGAGAATAGATTGACAAGAAGATTCCGCTGGGAGGGAACTGCCTCAAAATCGCAACAAGAAAACATATAACAAAAAAATTTTGCAAAGCAGAGCTTCACTTCGCCACCACCAGGCGTCACTCAAAATGGAAAGCTTTCCACATTTCACGCTCGTTGAGGACAAATTAAAGACGAAGGTCTTCGTTTCGGTTTTGGATTCCGTTTCTCCGAATCGAATTCCAAAGACGGAAACACTCGCAAAGCAGCCACGGAGGAAGCCGAAGTTGGAATTTGCTCGAGCATGGCTGATGAACTTCCTCACACCCCATGGACAGCATTCACCATGCCCAACCAAGAAGATACACGTCCATGGATTCACCATCAAGCAACTTTATCGACTCATGCAGGAAAGCTGCGTTGCTAAGGGATGCCTGAAAGAGAACCTTCTCAAATACGTCCGTTTCACTTCTCTCGTGAAGGACATGAACATCTCAATCCCCAAGGTGAGGGACTCTTGCCATTCATACGTAATTGAATAACGACATTCCTTGAAACAAGGTATTTGAATTCGAATTAGCTTTGATCATATTTCGCATAACTGAGTAGAGAGTGAGACGGAGATATTATCGCAGTAATATTTCATCTGACTTTTGTCACAGCCAGACGCCTTCCTGAGTTGTGGCACATGCACCCAAATCAAGAAACAGTGGAGAGCTCTGACTGGGGAAGCCCGAAGAGAACTGGAACGCATTGGTGAAAGGCATTTGAAGATGGCTGAGTGAGTTATCCTATACTTATTTTGATGTTTTATTCTGTCATGATAGGTCATTTTCAATTGGTCGGCAACAACTATATTCTTTGGTCAGTACGTAACTGTGTCAACTACTTCAAAACGTTAACACGACATCCCATTTGTGCTAACTGTGCATTAACGGGAATTCCAAGGATATCAAAATAGCAACAGTGGAATAATAATAATGGATTAATTTACCTCGCTGATTTATTCTACATTTTTTGCAGGAAAATGGTGATTTCTTAATTTCATGTTGAAAAGAAATTAGTTAACTTTCAATACAAGTGTATGGACCTAACGTATTGACGTCGTCAATAAATTAAATTGTTATGTCTTCACAACGCAAAAAACTCGTGTAATTTTATGTGGAAATGTTCCACGGTTCGCCCAAGAAGGCAAGCATACGAATAGCTTGCCAAAGCTTGTCACTCATATTGAAGGTGATTCTATCCTTCCATATATTTTTTAATGTAATGTTTTCAAGGTAACACTTGATATAACTGACAGCCGCTCAAAATTACATACAGTTCAATTCTATAAGTTGAATGAAGTGATTCTGGTTTTCTGTGAAAATGGTCGTTTTGTAGATGCTATTTCATTCTAACATTTGTAGGAGTGATGGTATACACGGGCAAGGGGATCCTCGAGTTCGCATATGTTGACATGGGTCAATGCCCCCACGATTCCAATTAGATAATGAAGGATATTCTCCGTACTCTACTTCACGTGAAGGAGTATTTGAAGCCTAAACTCTTCCTGCAGAATGACAATCGTACCAAGGAGAATGAGAACAAATACCTCTGCGCACTGGCTCATCTACTCGTAGAGGAAGGAATATTTGAAGAGGTGAATGACACTCTTAGGGATCCTTGAAATTATGGAAATACATATCCAATAGAAATAGAAATAGAAATCCAATAGACATTTTGGGACACTCCATTTTCTATGTGCTGATTTTTTTTAAAGGTGATCTTCAACTTTCATCCAGTTGGACATACTCATGAGGATATTGACCAACTCTTCAGCTCAGTGGACCATTATCTGAGGGTTAGAGACACGTGCACAGTAAATGGTAATTTTCTTTGTATGCCTAGTTTGTCGCTTTGGCTTGATTCTGAATGCCACATGAAAATTACATTTATCTTTCTTTTCAATTACAGATTTGATGACGTGTCTGCTAGAGATTAGAAGAAGAGGGAGACCAGAAAATCTTTATGCTGAAGAATTCAATGCCGTCCGCAACTTCAAGACTGTCATCCAGGATCATTTTCCACGTAATTTTCGTGGACAGACCAAACCTCATTCATTCCGATTTAGGAAATCCAAAGGAATCACGCAAATGCACTTTCGATTGCATGCTGGAGAAGCCTGGTGCCCCAATGAGCATGATATTCAATACATGAGGGAGTGCCTTGGCCCAGACCTTGGATATGTATGTCTACAGGTAAGGAGAGTGCAATGACTGACTAATATCCCTAGTTGAGGTCATTAAGCATCCCTGACCTTATGAAATTTGTGTAAAATTAAACTGGATTGGACTGATTTTAGTTTTATAACTTCAAGCGGTTCCTAATATGAAATGTCACTTTTGCAGGAGTATAGTTGTAGAAGCCTTTCTCAGGCTTGGAGTTGCTCATGAAATTATAAACTAGGAACGTGTGGAATGCCTTTCCCCTTTTCATTTCTTGATTCATTTCCACCTCCCAGACGACTCCAGCACTCAATGCATTCGGTGTTCTGGTGCCTCCTGATTGGAATGCAGCTGGACTAGAGGTGGTGAGGGCATCCATCCAAAAGGATGGATGCCCTCACCACCGTGGACTTTGTCTGAAGACAAAGTCCACGCTTGGCGTGTGTTTTCTCCAGACACTCAGCAATCCATGGTAATGGCGGTTGTTTGCAGTCTCAAATATGTTTTATTAGCAAGTAACTTATGGAATTAAACTACTAGATATGCATTGGTCTATCCCATGGAACCAGTGTTGTACCTTCTAAAGCTGAGAGACTACAAGAACACTTCAACTGAACAACCTGCCGGCGTAACTCCAACCATGCAATCCTACCTGGCGAACATGAAAAGTCAGATGCTCGGACCATTGCAACATGTGAGAATATTTTTCCTAACGTTAGAGGCATCCACATTGCACTTGAACGTTTTCAAATAGTCGATCATTTTTGCAAAGCTGAACTCCACACTTAATTTCCTGTATGCACTCCACAGCCCATCATTGGTTCCATTGGCAGTCGGAGACTGGGCATATGTGCTGGGACTAACGACCTTCATACCGGGATGTAGGCCGCCGTCTATACAGAGGAGAAAACGTCACGGCCATGGATGGGAAAGATAACCTCCGTAGAAGAGAAAGAAGTGACCATCCACTGGTACCAGGGGACTTATGAGAAATCTTGGAACCCAATGACTGGAGTTGAACGCCTTTCAACCGTTCCCCGAGAATCACTTCTCTTATGGGGATTCACTCTAACAGACGAGAGGCAGCTGCTGAGGAGCGAAACGAGGGAAGAATTAAAGCGGCTTCATCAAGAGACTGACCAAATAATGCAACGTGAACCAGAGACTTCAGAAAAAAACTAGGTACTACGTACGTGCTTTATTTATTAATGTAACCGTATATACAGGTCCAGCCCAACCATTCAACAGAATGTTCATTTCAATATTGATTTATCTCGAATCAAAATATCAAGAGTGGTGTTTGTTCACTCGGACAATACCATTCCTGATATTTCATGCAGTTCACTGCAATGATCTTAAATGAATTCTCTTCATCCTGCAGGAATGATTGACGACAAGCTTGGAGAGGTCGGATGTAGCCAGCAAAGAGCACCTGACTAGGACATATCAACCATCAGCGTAGCCGGAATTTTATTCAATCCTGATGGTCAAGGCTTCAGAATACAAGATACGTTGCTTAGATTGAAGCTTTTTATCTTTTTTTTCTTCCTGTAAGCGCAGGAGAGGGGAATGTTAGCTCTAAAAAATGGGGTTGAAAAAACTGAATGTTGCACCAATCCAGAAGTGAAAAGTTTCTTCTCCTAAACTTTTGTTCTAAAGAGGACCATTTTTCTACGCTTGATGTATTACAACCTTTGTTCATTTACCATCATGTCAAATTTTGTGATTTGCTTATTAGGATACTGAAAATATGAAATGAAAATATGGAAAATATGAACATATGAAATAGAACTACGAGGTATGCTAAACCTATCCAAACTGATTTTTATGCGAATGAATTATTGAGGTTCTAACTTCTTTCACTTTTGTGCAGGGTCTCCAGGCCCTTTGGAAAAGTGCTGAAGTCGGGAAGGAAGATGGCGGCGGGATCTTACGAAGCCGATCATCCAGTAGATGAAGATTGGGCTCCCCTCATCCTTCAATTCAGTGCAAAAGGTGTTTTTGTCAAATGAATGGGGGATTTCTTGTTTTTTTTGTGCAACCCTTATCTTGTAAAGGCATATGTTCAATAAAATCTTTGTCTTGGAAGAAGGGCGGATGTTATATTCGCTGGTTGATCCTTGCATTATACACGTATTTCATTGTGAGACTGATATTTTTCCCAATCAATTTTTATCATTCAATGTGTTGGGTAACATACGACAATAAAGGCTTTGAAGTGTGTCATTCAAGTTGTGCAGTCATTCCGTGTTTCCCCGCATAGGATGAGACTTGAGCCACTGGGCTCCATAGTGAGAAGTAAAAGAAATTGATGCGCATTGCTCTTCAGAGGATGGGGAATGGGCCAAATGGCTAGTTTCCCATGGAGTGTGTAAGCATATGCACGGTGTTCAACCTACAGGCTGGGAATACGGCCAAACGGCTGAAACCCCATCGTGTGAACACATAGGTTTGCTTCTCGCCCCTTGACCTTCACGTTCTGAGCCGTGCCTCGCACATCCTGGAAGGTTTGGGTCAGGCATGTCAACCCTTAATAATATCCATACGAATTAAAGTTAGGTTATTTATAATAAAGGCCTCATGGAACGAGAATGACCCAAATTCTAGTCCCACACGATGTTCGTGAATTCCCCGACGAATTGGCAGCTCGATGGTTTCTGGGATATATGCCACAGGAGTAAATTCACTTTTGACTGCGACACCGCTCATTGGTATAAGTCGGACAAATGTGCAGCCCTTTTGTGACCAATTCTGTAATTGAACAAGCAAAATTTAATTGAATCTTGTTATTTGTGAATTTTAACGAACAGCGCTCTCATGCTAGTTCACTTATTTCTTGCAAAGTCCAGAAAAATGCTATTGCTGAAGCGGGCTCCTGCAATAATTGAATGCTGAAAGCATACCATGGAGGGTAAAGTAATTTTTTTTTAACGGTGTGTAACGGGCACGGGGCGCAGTGGGTTGGATATATGAAAATATCAAATATTAATTAAGTTAAAATAAAACTTTAACCTTAACGCGCCCCGATTCCACTACAATGAATTCCCTTCCAGGAACTCAGGTCCGTGCCAATTCAAATTCGAGTGGGAGTAACTAAGGCGTAATTCAAGAAAACAAAAAAGTGTATTTCCAAAAAAAAAAACTAATAAAAAAAAGACAATAGAAATGTTAGCCAAACAACCGGTCCAACCCCTTTACGGTATTTTCAATGACAATGGGTTGATCTTCACTTCCAGATTAAACCTTGCAAGTTCTGGGGAAACTCACGACCATCGAAGTGAAAAGATCCTTTAACTATAACGTTTTTCTTCCGTATGTTTTTGAGAGAGAAATGTGGCCATTTTCAGAGCACCCACGATCCAAAAGGGCCCGAGTACCCCGGTCAAATCGGTACTAACTCGAGTTCTTCGAGTTCGAGCTCTTCAGGGACCTCGGAGTAAGGGATCGAGGGAAGGATCTTCAGCTGAAATCTTGCTGGATTGGAGGATAGGTTTGGCGATTAGACTTGATTGGAGGGACTTTGATACCCATTCACATAATGATGTCATGGCTCTTTGTACAGTGTTTGGGTAACACATTCGAGACGAAAAGATCCTGCATTTAAACTGGAAGGAACCCTTCCACGGGTTGGCTAACCCTAAACACTAGGTTCACCTCCATATTCAGGCATCTCCACGTATTAAATGTATTTTTTTTAAATTCACGTGGACAGTTTCAATTTCAGGGGCCACCTCTCCGCTCTCTAATTCCTGAGCAGGTGGTGTGGGAATCGTCTCTGAGCAATTTTAGTTGAAACGTATTCTCAGCCCGGAGAAGGCTCCCTTTGTGGTTTGGTGTTTTTCCGCCTTAATTTTAGCGAAAAAGCGGCAAATGGAATAAATAATTCCACTCATGATAGAAAAAAGGGCCAGGTTGATTATTGTGGGTCCCAAAATGATCTTAGGCTCGAACCATTCAATATTTTGGGATTCCTGATTATGTATATTTCCCGACTCTCTTTCTACTTCCTGTAAAGGGATGCCAACAGGAATCAGACTGACTTGCTTGAGTTCTTCCAGTTTTTGTTTTATATGCCTGTATCTTTCATCCTTAGCGATTTGCTTAAGCAATTCGATTTTCGAGGCATTTATCATTTCCTGGATATTTGGGAGATGAAGAGGATATTGAATCACGTGGGTTCCCTCCCCAAAACCTGCATAACTGGAGGGCAGAGAAAAGTCAGTCATATGTGCACTGCATGCCCCTGGCAAAGTGATACGACCGGAAAGATTCCGCTGATGGTTGGTAATTTTGTCTTTTATTTTCCTTTTGTCTGAAACTGAGTCGATTTAAATGAAATTTGCCTACTATCCCGAGCGATCACCCCAAATCTTATGAGGAGAAAGTTTGCGGGCCAAAATAAGTAAAATATTGTTTGCTTGAGTATTAAGCAATTTCTTTAAGCCTCGCCACCAGGATTAAAAGTGGATCTCGATGCCGCATGAATAGCCGAGATCGTTCGGATATCATTGAATGACCTATTACCGGGCGATCCTTTTCTCGCCGTCTCCAGGCGTATCTTCCCTTCCAGTGAAGACCCGGGCGATAATACGAAAATGATACGGCGGTGCAGCACCGCACACGTCTGATCGGCCAGACACAGAAGACGTCGCGTTCGAGAGGAGCTAAGAAAAAGAACTGCTGATGGCGCACCCATAGGAACAGTATAGTCATTCGTGCTGCAATCGCAAGACTTAGGCTGGAATGACCTTTCGTTAACGGTCCTTTAATAATACATAGAATCCTATGGGAATCCTCGTACTCTTTTTAAAGGACCGTCAACTAAAGGTTTCGGCATTGGGGCCTGACTTTTTGACATCATGCCAGTTCGTCACCGTTCACTTCGATGATATTTTCCTGATTTGTCGACCCAACTTTACTCGAGTACTTCCACGCAGCAAACAGCCCCGACGCAGCAGGCGCAATACGTATTCAGAGGAACCGATAGGCCCTATTGAGTCCTTCCAAGACTTCCTTCTATCGTGCATATGAATCCAATACCTCAATTTAGGCTGACAGCCGATCAGAACGGTCATTGGAGCAGCCGTACCGAATACTTGAGCATGCCATGCCCAGACCCGCCAACATCTTTACCGTGCACGATGCACCATGCACATGTGGTCGCTCTGCGTCTCCATTAGTCTGTTTGCCCTTCAACGTTCACTCCGAGTTCATACGATGAATGCCTTAGATCTGCTGTAGGTCTTAGATCGACCGTGATGATGATGGCAGCGTAACGCGATCGCCTTCGTAGGCCCGGCGATCTCAGCGTCGGCAGGACTGGAACTCGTGGCCCGCTCAAAAAATCGGGGACTCGCACCGTGAAATAAAAAGTGTTCCGACCCGCCTTATCGGGCCGACGAAGCACCCCCTCGATGATTGGACCTCCAGCACCACGACTGCCCTCCATCGTGTTCACGACGGCAAGAAAACCTAGAAAGGAAACGATGAAAATGCCATCGTAGCGAATGGAGAAGAGCCGCCGTGATACCGACCGCGTTCTACCGTGCGCAACCTCCAGTTGTTTTTCTCAGTTCGGTGACATCCCCTCACCGTGCTTGCTTCCTTAGAGCCATGAGCTCTGCCGCGACTCTCGTGACGTCATTCGACGTCCGACGACTGCGGCCTATCGGACGAGGGTTCTGCAGCGTCATTGTATCGTTTTGAAACGAGCGACCCGGGGGCCTTCGAAGATTCCGTCCCTTTCGATGAAAATCGGTAGGTGGCAGAAACAGATTTCACTCGACGGTTATGCATCCGAAAGAACTCGATTGAATGCATTTGCTTCCTCGATCGTGAAAATTTCACCTCCACCCCCATGAGACGTCTTAGGAGTGCAGGGAGAACGATTCCGCTGGATGTTTATGACGGGAATGAAAAAAAGCATCCAATGGCGATTGGAGTCTCCCGATTCTTTTTTGCATTTGAGCCGAGTTTCCTCTCGGATCGGGATGGAAGACTCCGGGACCGGTCGGGGCCGCTCGAAGGGCCGCCAACGCATGACTGGATGTTGGGCCGCAGTTCGTTAATTGTTCTCAAGATTTCATCGCTTGCGTGCCCCGGAGCCCACGCAGCAAATTTTGCAAGAAGAACTTGCCTCGATTATTACACGGTGAAGGCGTTCGAGAGACGTTTTCCCTGCAGATTCGAAGGAAAAATGTGACAAAATACGAGGGGGTGTTTCAAAAGTTGCGGGAAAAATATTTTCTAAAAAATAACTAGAAGTCGTAACGGTCTGAAATTTTAACCAAATATGGCCCACGGAATCTAAAAATGTACCCCTAATCATGAAACATTTACGTGACCGCCTTCATGGCGGCGTGAGGGCGGAAAGAGACTAACTCATTAAGCAGCAGGGTTCCGTGATCCGCTTTCAGAGTTCGAAGTCTGAAAGCGGATCACGGAACGCTGCTGCTTAATGAGCTCCTCCATCTGCTCATAAAAATGCTTCTCTTTGGAGAGAAGCATTTTGGGAATGGAGAGCGGAGTTTCGGAGTAGAATTTGGCAAGAACTTCCTGGTAAAGGACGAAAGAAGTGTAGGCATATCGTGAGGGGATTGATTCACAAACTGCGAGACTCCGGTTCATCTGAGAGAGAGAGAGTGAAGGAGCGAAATTGTGATCCTCCCGTCATCATCCAGGTGCGAATGCAAAAACAAAATTCAGTTGCGTTTGAAAAATATCTCGTGTGTTAAAGCGGCTAAAGATAAATGTGAGACAGTTTTCGGATACTCGAAGGATCCATAGAGTTGTGCATGGAATACCTCGTAAAATTCGTTTTCGTAGCTGCTGCTTCGGAGGAGTCACCAATTTTCGAAGAGCGGCGCTTTTTTGTGCCTCAGTCGGTATTTACAAATGGATACAGTTGAACCTTGTCACATTCAATTGGGGCTATATTATGGCTGAAGTTCAGACAATAGGCGAAGAAATTTCGATGCGGCTGGAGTTATTCTTGTGTAAGGCAGTTGCGACT